TGTCGCTCTGCCCTTCCCAATTACACCATAGAAACGGATCTGTCTGCTACAACAGACATGGTCCAAAAGGGGTGCTGGATGCTCACTATCGATTCACCCACAACTGCCCTGGTGTTGATGCCAAACACCCACTGCCTGTGCTACCACTCCTGTGTTGGAAACTGCATTTCTTCATCTTTTGGATCCTCTGACACACCGGTGTACAAACTGTACCAAATGCAGAAGACAACAAAACAAACTTAGCACTACTTTAACTGTGCACACGTAAATTACAAGTGGAAGTTTCTAGATCGACTTTAATTATGTTTAATTAATGTTGCAAGGCAGCTGTTAGTGACATTACCGTCAGAGTGGGTCGCTCTGAAGCTCACAGATGTAAACGCAGGCATCTCAACCTACCGGTAGCAGAAGTCACTCTCTGCAGTTGCGGTCCTGACTGCCAGTGAGTGAGGACAAGCTCGCAGCCCCTCACCAACCTGGGCGCAGAGATAACCCTGCTGCAGCACAACTACAGCAGCATCCTCAGTAGTACCATGGCACCACTACTGAATGAAAACCAGAGAGGTGTAACTTTCAAAACCAAGTCATCCATAAACACTGATGGTAGCTGAGCAGGATTTAGTCCTTAACGTATGCAGCATGAAGCTGCGTATCCTGAATGAGTGACTGGAATTTAATTTCAATTACGCTTTAAGTTTGTTGGTTAAAGGACTGCAATGCATGAAGACTTCCAAGAAGGGCATTACAAGTCACACATGTCATGCTGTAATGTCAAACTCCTGTTTCACAACAGATGAAGGACTAACCATCATGTCAGGAAGGACTGCACCGCTCCATCGGCACAGGCCACTTACGTCCCAAGGCTTGATTTACAAAAGAAAAGCTTTAGGTTTACAAGATACATGCCCGGCCTCAAGGACACCAAAAAGACACTACAGTAACTCTGAGAATTAAACCGGGAAAACCATGAGATTAAATTGGTTTCCAGCCTGGCTATTATTTCTGACCCCACATTACCTGGAGCTGGGCTCCAGCAGTGAAGCCAAGGGAACCTCGGCTGACAACGCAGGGCCACTGCCTTCCTGGGGCTGTGCACGAATCCTCCACCACCCCTCCACACCCAGACACCGCTGCCACAAAGGTGTGCACAGATGTGTGCCTGCATTTGCAAAGTGTGAGCTCTATCACTGACACTGAGGAAATGCCTCTTTCCCCTCTGCAGAATAGAAACATAAATCAGCACTTACGGTACTTGCAGTAAATGATTATGAGATCCACGGTGAGCTACACACAGCTGCAGTAAATGATTACGAGATCCACGGTGAGCTGCAAACATGGCAGAGTCCCACACGCACCACAGAGCTGTGGCACCCCGTGCTGCAGCTCCAGGAGATCCAAGCAGGGCCCCTGCTCGCCTGCCAAAGGAAGAGGCTCCCGCAGGCGCGGTGAGGAGCCTGGGTCCGATTCGAGACGGGAGCCCAGGTTTCCTGCTGTCCATGCCCAGCAGCAGGGACCGCAGTGCATCGGCACCTGCAGCCAGCGCTCCCTGCACACACTGGGGACACACGGGGTGCAGCTCTGCTTCCTCAACTGCTTCTGCAGATGCACAGCAGCGACCTGTGGTTACCTGCCATGGTCCTGGTAAATGTGTTCTTAGCCGAGTCTGATGTCAACGCTGGATCAGTTTGTAAAGCCACTTTTAGCTTTTCCACAGGAAAAAGGTGTCTGAGAAATAAAACCTGCTAGGGTCTACAAGGAAGGAAAAGAAAAGTCCTACCTCTACTACTGCTTTGGCATCCAGTCTAAAGTTGAAATCTCCAAAGACAAAATACGAAACTTTCTCAAACCGCTGATCTATAATTCTGGAAAACAAAACAGAACAGAACAAACCTGTCATTCAGCTTTACATGTATGCGAGGATGCACAAATACACACATCTTACCTTCTAGCACAATCTCAGAAATAGTTATCGGAAAGATCAAAACTACCAGTTTATACTGGAACAACATATTCACCGTGTTTTTGGGCTGGTTTTCTTTGCACAGGCAATTCTATCTCCAACTCCAGTAAAATAACGCATTTGATTTCCCCTGTCTGGCTGGAAAAGCAATGTGGAGCAAAGACAGTTTGCAGCAGCGAGTACAAATAATGCAGCACCAGTATTTGGGCACCAGAGAAATCTGGAGGGCACCAGGGGGGCACCCCACACCTTTGAGAGTTGAAGTACATGGCTTTGGGCTGGGCAGCTAGGGAACAGGAACCCCAAATCAGTGGCGAGTCCAGAATACATTTACCTTCAAGTAACTTATCTGTAAGGCTGTGATCGTAACGTTTGGCAGTGTTTGTTAGCACTCTATGAACTCTATGGAAAGTGACCTATTAGGGGTAAACATCAACCCCTGAGTTGGGATGATCCAACCCACCCAAACCCCCAGTTAGGATAACCCAACCCATCCAAAGCCCCAGTTGGGATGGCCCAACCCATCCAACCCCCCCAGCTGAGATGACCCAACCCATCCAACCCCCCCAGTTGGGGTGACCCAACCCATCCAAGCCCCAAGTTAGGGTGACCCAATCCATCCAAATCCCAAGTTGGGATAACCCAACGCATCCAACCCCCTCAGTTGGGATGATCCAACCCAACCAACTCCCCCAGTTGGGATGACCCAACCCATCCAACCCCCCCAGTTGGGGTGACCCAATGCATCCAACCCCCTCAGTTGGGATGACCCAACCCATCCAACCCCCCCAGTTGGGGTGACCCAATGCATCCAACCCCCTCAGTTGGGATGACCCAACCCATCCAACCCCCAGCTAGGATGACCCAACCCATCCACCATCCCAGCTGGGATAACACAACCCATCAGTGCCCAGATTGGGATGACCCAACCCATCAACTCCCACCCAACAGGATGGATCCGCGAGGCTCCTCCTGGCTCTGTCCCTGTTCTCTGACCGTGAACTCTCCCTCTCTCTTTTTTGTTCAAAGCAGATGTTTACTGGGGTTGTAGCTAACACTTAAGAGGTGATCTCTCCAGATGTGGGCAAAGATTGATTTTTTCTCAAGCCTTTGCTCAGAACTGAACAGGGAGATAAGGCCTTACTGCTCATCTTTCAAATGTATTATTAAGAATGGCTATTATATTATCACCAACAGTGGTCTGGTTCTCCTAACAACAGGCAATTTTACATGCTTCCAGAGATCCTGTAATTTGGAAATCCACCGATTCACACTTAATTTCACAACAGCAATCAATACAACCAATTTCCTCTCAGCAGCTGAGGAAGGTGTGAAATACCCGAAATGTGGCTGCTGCAGCAACACAGAACACCCAGACCCTGCAGTGGGGTACCGCACGTACAACAGATAAGGACTAAGGGAGAAACGCATGGCAGTGCACTGTGCCTGTTCTGGGAATACATAACTATGTGAGTGCTATGATGCCAGAACCCCTCTGGAGCCAGCAGTAGGGGCGCAGGCAGACAGTAAAGGATTAAAGCACCGCGCAGCAGGAGCCCTCCCGGAACAACGCTGCCCAGCGCCGGGGCGCTCGCTTCAAACGGCTTGTACAGCTGTGATACCTCACATCCATTCAGGCTTTCCAAAGCTACAGAGAAAGGTACGACATCGGATTTACAGTGAGGTACTGCTTCTCCTCTTGAAAACATCTCACATTCACAGTCAACAGTAATCTATTATGCAAGGAATATTATTCTATTGAAAAATTAACGTGCACTGGACCGAAGGCAGTGATCATCTGAAGCAAAATCTCTCGCAAAGACTTATCCTGTTCTGGTATGAAAATCTCCAAATCCTCCATTCAGCTGACAAATCATTGCAGCACTGTTAATAAATACTGCCCGCTGTCAGCTCCCAGCAGGCACCGAGGAGAACTGTCACTGCTGACCTGTGCCTAACATCAGCGTGATTAGTGCCCTCGTGGCACGCTAAAGGAAAATGAGAACTTAAAAGTTAAACCATTTACATTCCCACGAGTTGCTAACACTATCATTGCGAAATCTGATGTGTGACTTACACACGAGGAAAGCTGGTTCTGCTTTGCCAACTTTCCTGATTCATTTCCTAGTTCTGGCTTTGCTCATCGCCATTTGCTGCTGACAAAGAAATGACAGATACTGCAGGAATGACATCAAGGTCTGGAGGAGGCCTCTTAAAACAAATTGATATTATGAGAATGATGCCTGTGATTGTATTATGTGAAGACGGATATTCCAAATAAACAGACTATTCCAAAAATAGCCAGTTAAAATGTCTCCTGACCGATGAACAAAGCAGCTGATTAGTCTGCCTCTGATCAATTAATTACAATTCAGTCATTTCATAGTCTTGCACATTACCTGATTTAAACACGATTTGCATACAAATCGATGCCAGATCATAATTGATAATTTTAACCAGTTGCTCCCCTTGCAGTTTGTCTTGTTGGACGTGTTAGCATCTCCTGACAGACTGAAGTGAAGCAGTTACTTCTCAAGAGCGATGCTTCGAGTGGATCTGACATCTCCTTTGCACGGGGCTGGGGTTCGGGCGTGCAGTGCCATTACCAGCAGTGGTGCCGCAGGGGACAAACCCTAACCCTAACCATACACGTGTGTGCATTGATCAAATGATCTGGGACACCTAACAGTGAAATACGCTTTAAATGACTCACGTTAATACCTGTGTGTAACCTACTGTCCTTGCACTGCAACCACTATGAGTTCAGGAGCCCCAGATCTCCAGCACCGTGGTACCCGACAGCTCTGTTCTGCAGCACTGCTGCCCACCACTGCACAAGGACTCAGCTTTAGAGCCAGACCCCGGGTCAGGGAGGCGATGGCGCCAGGAATGAGCACAGCGACGCCTCCTCCCCTAAACAGGGCAGGAAGGCACAGGGCTGGGATGGGAACCCCGGATGCAGACCCCGAGAGCCAGGCAGGACCTGGCACAGCCACAGCACTGGGACTGAGCGAGAGCTGAGCAGAACCCTCCTGTTCCTCTCGTTACCGCGCTCTGAGCCACAACCAGGCACAGCTCATCACTGTACATGCACGTGGGAACTCAGAGGGCAATTTTTTAATGAGTGCTTGCAAATGAACTAGAAAGGCTTCAAAATCTGTGTTATTCCACTCTGCTATTTGTTTCTGTAACAATACCCTTCCCTTAACCATGAATCAAATAATCCTTTGAAAATGTTGCCATGCATTGGTCAATGGAGTGATAAATCTGAATGGTATAAAAAGAAAGCAGCCAACCTGTGTCCCCAGCATTAATCTCATGTTTTTAGTGGGAGGACCCAGTGCCATTTCCTTGCCTCAACATACGCTAAGGCCCCATCCTTTCCTGTACAACTTCTCTAAAAAGCTTGTGACAAAATCAGCGGCTCTGGTAAAAACGTCACGACTGCAGAGCAGCTGCGAACATCTCCCTTCCACAGCTCCCTGTACAAGACCAAACCGAGATCCTCAACGCCTGAGCTCTCTGTGCTGCCCATGCAGGGCCATCCACAACGATGGGCAACCAGGAGGTACCCACCACGTAAATGGAAATAAACCCAAAAACGTTTCACACAGCTGTGCCTTTGCAGAAGAAGCAGCCCTCCCTTGCAGTAGGCTGGAGGAAGGCGCTCCCTCCTCTAACCCTGTGTTCCTGCCTTATGGAAAAGAGTTTATTTACACCTAGAGCATACCAAAGAAACAGCTTTCACTTCTGCTCATTCTGGAAATCAACACGGCAAATTCAACATGGCACATAAGGACCAGTGGAAAAAATGCATGGTTATGACTGGGTTTACTGATGACCTCGTTAGACTGCGAAGCACACAAACAGAAATGCCACAGAGGATTTCTCTTCTGCAGTTCCACAAACAGAACCTGTAACTGCATCAGGAGCTCCTGGTAACAGTGTTAGGGTCTTCACACGTGGGACACATTACCTTAAATATTTTGCCAGTTTCAAACTAATCCTACATTTTTCACTGCTGGCTCTACACTGAAAGGCTTCGGGACTGGTTGGGTTATTCTGTTTCTCTTCCAATTTGGTTTTATTCTGAGAAGAGGCAGACCACAAACGGCTTTGAAATGGAGCTGAACAGCTTTCCAGGGATGACAGGACAGCAAGGGATGGAAACACCTCAGCAACTGCGACTTTGGAGTAAAGTTTACAGTCAAAGTCAGCCACATGTTTTGATGAGTCAGATCCACAGCTCACACTTTTGTTAAGGAGTAAACTTCACTGCTAAGGGTGCAAATAATGTTAAATTACTATGGAAATTTCTCTGCTGCAAAATAAATACACGCAGTTCTTATTTTGGTCTAACAACGGCAGATTGTCTCACACTGGGTATCAGCAGCTGCCTGACAAACCCAGGCAGACGTTCCTGTGTCTGTGCTGTAAATGTGTTTGCTCTGCTGCATCCATAAGACTTGAACAAAACACCCCCTCTCAAGCCTCTTACCATGGCAGTCCCAACACATGTCCCCAGAGACCTGGGACAAAAACTGCCTGTGATTGTGGGGACATCAGGAATGACAAGAAACCCTCAGCTGAGCGGGCTGTGAAGGGTTAAGATTTCCCAAAGCCACTGAGGGGATCTGGATGCCAAATTCCTACCAAGAGTAAAACAAGTAGGAGGCAGAGGGAGGTTTCTCTTCTCCTCAGTATTACTGGAAATCTGGGTCTAGTTATTAATTTTAGTCTCTACACAGAACACCAAAAGTAATGGCTTAGTGCAATCTTAAAATGAACAACTCTGTGTTATTGGAATCAATGAAACCCTTTTGTAATTTACTTTAAAATGAAGTACCCATTATAGTAGTTACAACTAAAGATACCTTATGCACCCTCTTTTATAAAAGCTAT